GCGTTCATGTGGGAATCCTTTGGGAACCTGGGCCAGCCAATGCGCCAACGCTAGGCGCCCCCGTTTTCTTTTGGGGGGGGGGGAGGTGGGCAGCAGAGAGGAGATAGGGCTGCAGAGACTGGACGCCCGAGACAGGACGAGCGGAAGAAGATATCAGGATCGCTTTGGGACCAGGAGAGGCTCTGGTTTTCAAGCCTTTCTTCAGATCTAGGTCGGGGAACCTATTCGTGGCCGAGGCTCGCGGTGGCCAGGAAAGCCCCTGCATTCCTTGTCAAGCGTCTCTTACGGTAGCGCGATGAAGCGTTCCAGCATGGCAGCAGCCCAGCAGTGTCTCTCACAGCCTGGTGCAGCCCCAGGGTGCCGGTGCGTCGGCGGATCTCATTCGGTTGGCCAGGGGGGGAGGGGGGGAGGCGCAGCCAAGACGCCCCAGTCAGGAACGCCCTGGGCTCAGGTTGGGCTCCGGTCTTCGGGCCGCGCAGGCTGAGGCCGGGGAACCCGTTCGTGGCCCGGGCTCGCCGTGGCCAGGAGAGACCCCTCCGTGCCCTCTGCGGCGTTCGCGCTGGTAGTCCCATGGCCGTAGGGCTCAGCGGGGTGTGGGCCGCCTGCCTCGAGCGCTCTCGGTGTCCCCAGCCGGCGGGGATCGGCAGATTCTTCCCGGCTGAAGTTCATTCACGCGCTGATAAAGGGCGAGGGAAGCAGCATCAACGACGAGCGTATCGAAGTTCTGTCTCATTGCTACAGCAACGTGAAGTATCTCTCGAACGTCTACGGCGATGAGATCATGAACATGCTTCGGAAGTATGACCCCGAGATTCCAGCCTGAGAGCTCAGGAATGGATTGTGCTGCGCACCGTGATCGCGATGGCCGCTGTACAGTAGCAGACGCGCGAGCAGTTGTTGCAGATGCGCTGACTGGTGGCCTGTGGCTTTGATCGTTGCTCAGAAAATGCGAGAAGAGATGATGCATCTGAAGTGGTCTTAGTAGTGTGCCTCTCGAACGTGCTAATGCCTCTCCTTGTACTGTAGGTGAACCTGGGGCGATTACACCAACCTTGGTGCAAGGCATCGTTACGACGGCTATTCGAGCCGACGCGTAATACACGTCACGCGCAGTATGCGTTGTCACACGGTTGCGTTGAGGCGTGATGATCTTCTCGTTTGATGTTGCAGTGAACGTATTGTTCGTATGTAGCTCTACCAGCGGATGTGATTTGGAACGGCAGTACATGATCACGCACTCCTTAAATCAGTGCTACATTGTTCCGGAAGTTTTCTGGATGACTCCAGCAACGCCGCGTGTCTGACAGACTCGGATCCGCGCGGAGCATATTCAACGTAGGTCCGATCCCTGATACGTTGCCGCGGATGAGAGGGGGAGAGCGGCTACCAGTCTTTTGTTTCTGGTCTCACGGGCTGCAGGCGGCCATCCAGACACAGCCTGGCAGCGCGCCCACTGGGGAAGGCAGAGGGGCCAGGCCATCTCAGAAGGCGGCGGGGTTTCTCAGAAGCCCTCCGGCCTTCTGAGAAGCCCTCTCGGGCCTCAGAGGAGACTTGCTCGCGCGTCGGCCCGCGGCGGGCGCTTCGTGGAGTACCCTCGCGCTGGCGCCGCCGCGGAGTCGCGGCCTGCTCCCGACAGGGGGGGCAGGCCGCGACGCGCCACCATTTAGGTTTGCCTGGCGCGGGGAGAGCGGCGTGCGAAAAATCGCGCGCCGCAGCGTTCAGGAGGGAGAACTAGAAGAAGCCCTTCAGAAGGCCCGAGGCCTTTCTGAACCTTCTGAGAAGTTCTAGGCCTCCCAGATGGGGTCGGAGTACATGGGGTCGGAGGACCGCGCCGCATCGCCGATGCGTCGGTGATGCGGCTCGATGTGGAACCCGATTTCCTCCACGCGGATGTCGCCGAGGCGTCACCCACGTCAACGACGCGTCGCCGGTGCATCGCCGATGCGCCGCCGATGTGTTGCCGATGTATTGGCGATGTGGCGCGATCCTCCGACCCCATCTGCTCTGACTCCATCTAGGAGGCCTCTAGAAGAACCGCTCCCTTTGTCCTCTCCCCTCGGTGCGCCGCCGACAAACGCACCGCGATAAACGCGGGGCATGCAGGCGGGCCGCGCCTCCCTGCCGCTGGCCTTGCAGGTCCCACCAGGGCCTCCCTGGGGGTCTGCGGGCGGCCGTCGGGGCCCCCTTGGGGCCGAGCTTCAAAGTTCCGTTTCGCCCTCCCATTTTGGGGCCGTGGGGCCCTTCCGGGGGCCCCCTTAGGCTTTCGCGCGGGGGGCCTCTCGGGCAGTTTTGGGGAACTTTTGGGCCGTCTTGGAGGTCTCGTGGGGGGGTCCCAAGGGCCGCCGCGCGCCTGACGTCAGCGGGCTCGAGGCAGGCCGACCTCGGGGCTTTCTCCCGGCCTCGCGCGCGCGCGCGCCTCGGGCCGTCCTCAGGGGCAAGGTCACGGGGGTGCGCATCGAACCCCACTTGCGCATGGACCCCTCATAGGGGCCCGATAGCCCACCCCGCCCAGGACCGCGCGGTTTCGCGATCGGGGGCTTATCGCCGATCCATTGGCGATGCGTCGTCGATTCCGGGTCGATGCCCCCCCCTTTGAGCCGGTGTCCCCGAGCGTGTCCCGCGGGATCTTGGAGCGTAGGGGTCGGCGTGCTTGGTGCCAATGCCCTCGTTTTCCAAACGGGGTTCTTCGGATGTGGGGGCTCTGGCGGTACCGCGCAGCCTGGAGTATGCTGTGGACGCGGTGCGCAGCGCGTTCGCGTGTTCGGCAACAGCGGGATGCACGAGCGTACGCCGCAGAGGTGCGCTGCCGTTGGCGGTTCATGGCGGCCGTGGGATCTTGGGCGACGGGACAGGCTGAAGCATGCGGCGCAAAAGCGAGTGGGTGCGGGAGGCAGGCGAGTCACGCACGTGCACAGGCGAGCCATGCACGCGCACGGGCGCTTCCCACGCCCCGCGCACGCACCAACGCCCAGCAGCGCCCCTTCACCCGCGCTCCTGCTCCGCGGCCGCTCTTGCGCGGCGGCAGGCGTGGGCAGCACTGGTCGCTTCACGCGGGCCGAGGCGGCGAGCGGGGCCCTCAGGGCACGAGCGGGCAGCGCGGTGCGCCCGCGGAGGCCCCCGCGGGCCTACAAAGCTTTCCGCGGGCTCGCAAAGCCCCCTCCACGCGGCAGGCGTGCACAACACCAGCTGCGCCAGTCACGCTGGCTGCAGCGATTCGCCGCGGGAAGCTTCTCTCTCCCGCGCGACAGGCGTTTGCAGCAGCAGCTTCGCCAGCCACGCCTGACTGGAGCGACGGGCGGGGGCCGCATCGCGAGCGGGAGCATTGTGCGCCGCCGGCCTCCGCGCGGGACTTGGGAGCAGGATCGGGCACGGGGCATACAAGCAGGGCAGGAGCCATGGGCCGAGTAGGCGACGGGGGCCGGGTGACGTGCGCAAGGTGCGCAGTTGCCGCAACACTTGGTGGTCCACGCGCCGCATCCTGGCGGACGCGGGGAGGACACCGAGGACGGGAGGAAGCCGAGGGAGAGGCCGGGGAGGGAGCCGGGGAGGTTGTTCTGGCCTTGGCTCCAGACGAGGGGCGTGGCGGGGAGCACCGCAGCGCCCACTCCCTTGAACATCCCGGGCCGTGCCCCCCGCGCATAGAATCGTTCAGTGTTCCACTTCCCCAGCGTGAGGTCTAAGATGCGCGCTGTTGTCAAACATGTGATATGATAGCCCCAGACCCCATCTACTCGGCTCCTTTCAAAACTAGGCGGGAGGTGCAGCTGGCAAGCGTCGCGCAGAGCCAGCGTCGGACTCGTGGCATCCGCCCTCCCCCCCAAGGCAGGCGTGCCCGCGAACGCCAGCGACGGCGTCCTGCGCAGGCTTGCCGAGAATGTGCGGCGTGATAGATTGCCGCCTTGATTCCGTCGGGTCTAGACAGCTTTGCGGGGATGTGCCGAGCGAGTGCGGCGGTTATTGGTGTTCTTGCGCCGGATTCTGTCGGATTTGCGGGTTCCGTGGAGAGCGGGGTAACATGTTTGACCATTCTCCCCCAAGGAAAATGTTCCGAGGATTTCCCGAGCGAGAGTGCCCGTTTGGGATTCAGTGCGCTTCCTCGCGTTCCAGGGGCTGAGGCTACTGATGTGTTTTTTCGCGGGTGCGCAGGGTGTGGTTGCCAAGCCCCCTGGTGTGCCTCCTCAGGTGGATTGGTTTGGACATATTAGTGGCGCCAGAAACAAAACAAATGCATCCCGGCCATTGGATCTAACCTGTATTGCAGTATGATGTACGCAATGTTGTCACTATCACTTATCCCGTACACACACGCATCACGAACATACAGTATGGTAGCAACCGGCCGCTTACGTAGTCCGCGCAAGGATGTTTGATATCACATGCGTATGTGTCGGAGGTCCCGTCAAAATCAGACTTGCAAGCCCATCGAAAGCCATAATCGACGAATTGCCAATAAAGAAAAGGAACACGAGCTGGCAACAGTGCAGACGTCGGGGAAATATATTGAAAAACTCAAGTGTTGCTAGCCTGAATCGGAATCGCTATGCCGCCAAATCGCAGGTGCCATTTCGTACCCGATCGTACCGCTGAGTCCTCAGAAATGCCATTCCCGGAAACGAATCTCAAGGTGTACCGTGCCCTGGGTCGGAAGCGGGAGTTTGAAACCGAAGTCGGGAGTCCCGTTCGCTTGTAAATATAAGAGTAGTTACAACTTTGCCCTCTCCTTAGTAGGGGTAACACCATTGGAACGCGGCATGCCCCCCATCATGGCCAGTGCACAATACATTTGTAATAATGCCCACCACCATCTTGCCCCACCCCAAGGCGAACAAACCAAGCCCGGAGTATTGTAGTAAGCGGGGTTGTAGTCGGTACACCAGAGCTGTGTGGGCCGTCGCCATGTAGCATTTTTTTGGTAAAGACGATAAGGAAGACCTCGAATCCGTAGCAGCCCGTGTAGCAGTGTTTGTTGCGAAGCCCTAAATGTTGCCTCCCAAACCCACCCAGTCGATTTGTACCAGCCGACGTCCCACCACTTGGGCAATCCATGCCATGAGGAAGAGAGGTGGCGTAAATGGTGAGAGGCAAATTAAAATGAGCTCTTGAGCCTCGTGGGCCCCAAGTCGGACTTATTTTGTTGCGTTTTTTCGTGTGAGAGTTTTCCCAGTGTCCCATAACCACTGATTTAATTAACAAGAGGAACACGCGCCAAGGATGACACAATTGCGGATGCGGGACAATGGGGGATGGAGATGCCGCCAACTTGTGGTAGTTTCGGGGAAGCTCGCAGTTGCTGCGACAAGCTGGCGAGCGACCATGACGAGGGAGCGGCGAATAGCAGCATGGCTGTGTGGGCGCAGCGCACGTGTCGATCGGATGGCGATCTCACTATGATGGGAGAGGTTTGCGAGGCTTCAGCGGCGTGTGTTATAATGCAGGCCCCCTGCATGGAGCGAAGCGCCTGGTCCCGAGAGGGGAGGCGCGATGGTATGCATTTTTTTTTGAACCCCGCAGCATCGCACGCACAGCAAGTGCCATCCTGAATACCAGAATGGGGTGAGACATAGGCTTACCGAAGCCACCAGAGTGCGGCTAAGCAGCAACAAAAAGAGGAGGAGGAGGAAGAAGAGGAGGAGGAGGAGGAGGAGGAGGAGGAGGAGGGGAGAAGAGGAGAGGGGATGGAGGCCTCACTCACCTTTCCCCGTCCAGCCATGCTTCCATTTGCAGTGCCGTACCGTCCGCCGCATCCAAGTGGACAGTGCCATCATTGACCAGGGTCGCTGCCAAATCGTCCTGTGCAACCACTGATAGCATTGTAATCCACCTGGCCCGCCAGACCCGAGCCATATGTCGTTGCAGCAGCACTGGGGCTTGCCGTGCTTTTGCAATCGCCGCCTGGTCGATGAGCTCCAACGCTTGAGAGTTGAGCCGGCCGCCAGTCTCCACTGCAGCCACGATCATTGTCAGGTGGGGGCTGTTCACGAGCTCCGGGTACGTCGTGTTCTTTTTCCGAATGGCTCGGGCGAACGACTTCCCTGGTTGGACCGCGGCCTTCGGGAAGGGAGTACCATCCGCGTGGAGGGGAGAGATCATCGTGGCGTCGACTGCGATCGGCACCCCCCGGGCGACTGGCAGCCCCGTGGCGACGATTTCGATTTGCCTCCAGTCCCCGGGGGCGATGTTGGGGATTGCTGTGTCCACCAAAGCCACGTTTTCTCGGACTCGAGCTCCCGCTTCTCGAAGTATCTGCCTCCATATCCGCTCGAGCGGCACGGAACGTAACTTGAACTTTCCATTCTTGGCATCCGCTGCTGGCCGGTCGCCAAGATTGTCTTGTCCTAAAAGGGGTAGTATCCAGCGCAGATCAGTAAGAGTTAACCAAACCCCATCCCCATGTCAGCCTGTAAAAATGACCCTGCGTAGTTGCGCCACAACGCGCGCAACGCATGTGCGTTGCTGACTGCCAGCATTGCGGCGCGGAGCTGATGTGCTTGAAGCTGCACCATGCCGACCGACGTTGGTTTTAGTCTGGTGCGCACGGGAGTAGCGCAGTTGCCAGTCTCCATGCGCGGCGCAGTATGCAATGCGCGCATTGGCGAATGTCGCGCGCACCGGTTATCTCGCACCTCTCCCGCAATGCCAGTCTTTGTGAAGATAATCATTGGGCCACGGCGACCTCGCGATTTGCTGATGCATCGCGTTGTCGATCGCGGAGCTTTCGTTGATGCTTCCAGCGTTGCGCCCTTGTTCGCGAGGGTCGCGTTATCGCTTGAGACACCCTCGGAATCTGAGCGCTGGTCAAAATATTGCCGACCCCCGCCCCGTACGTTTTCCAGAGGCCGACCCCGTTTGATCGAGGAAGTAAGGCGCATTTCCAGCCTTTCCATATGGCGTGCTTACAACTTGTTTACAAATTCTGTAATCGGTTCCCAGAGATTGCGCACTTGCTGTTACTCAAAAATTTACCTTTCGCCCTCCTCTGGAGCGTCCTCATGGGCTGCCTTGGGATAGCGCTATCGTTCTTGACTTCCTGACAATTTGCTTCGTGATTCTGAATTGTTACCCTTGGCCGTGCTCTTGCCTGACAATATTCCCCCGCCCGCGTGTCGCGACGCCCAGCGGGTTGGGCAACGCAAGGGGCGTTGGCGTGGCGCGAATGGGACGAGGCCAAGCCTTCGCGCCCGCGCCAAGTCGCGGGC